AAAAAGTAGTTCCCACCAACCGCGTATGATTTAAACAAGATTTCAGTAATTTAGTTACATTCCACTGTGATGATATACATTACCTGAAGTGAGTGAAGTATCAGAGTATTGATATTTTGATTTTAGTRTAGATTCTTGAGAATAAAGCTCTATTGTTGGTGGTATTGATATTTCTGTATTGATCCATCATCACCACTTTTCAAAGAATTTTCATGTTGAAACAGTGACTAATGGATTCATTGTTTCTGTTCAGTCATGGGGAGCTGGTACATTTCTTCAGCTGTCACTGGGMAAAAGGTGGGATGTATTCACTCACCTGATCAGCACTGGTGGTCGTAATACAGAGGAACCTTAGCTTTGGATTAGGGGTTGGGTTTAGGCTACAAAAATGACTAAAAGGCAACACAATGTCCTGATAAGAATAGAAACAGAAATGCTCATTGTTTGCAGGGCTTTAGACTCTTTCCCCCCCATTTTTGCATCTCATTGAGTCTTTTGTAAAACCCTGTGTACTCCCTACAGCTTGCCTTCAACGTAGACAGGACTTCCTGTGTTTCCTGTTGCTTCATGTTGTTAATAGTATTGCATGACTGTGAGAGCTAAGTTTAGCAACAACTGTGTTGCACATTGCTGCCTTGAAAATATTTATCCATAAACTAGAATAATTAGAAGAAATCAAATCAGATCACAGTTTCATAGTTCAGGGCTTTCCAAACTTCTCCATGTCATGGCCCACCCAAACAGTCTCAGCTTCTGGCCAGGGACCCCCTTTATAACCTCACAAACAGTGTTACAAAATATGTAAGAMACAAACTCTTAGAATGTTTTTTCTCACTTTTATTTGTTTAGCATAATAATTTTATTAACATGTTTTAAACATTGTTTTATTTTCCCACTGAAAAAACAATGTTTCAACAAACCATTGACCATAAAAACAGAACCTCTTAAGCTCTCTTAATTAACATTTCACTATATTACTATAAATTWTATCATCTTCCCCTCATCTTCCCTTGTGTGGTTTTTTAGTTTTTCTGTTGATGGTTGTGCCTCCTCTTGATGTCTTCATGAAAATGATCCTTGCTCTGCACAGGGTCAGTGGCAGCATGACCCAGAGCACCTGTTCTCCCATGTTTGTTATGTTCTGTCTTCTTCTGAATGTTCTGAACTGTAATTTCATTGTGCTCTCTGTACGATGACAATAAAGGTCTAATCTAATCTAATATTATAAAATAATTGAAAAACTGATTCTATTAATTTTTTTTTCTTCTCATTTTCCTTCCAGTTTTCTAAGCCCACCCAGCGCCTCCACTTTGAAAAACATGTTATGGATCAGATAGTTTATAACGCAATTTGAACATTTAACCAAAGTATACTACTTATTTTTTAAATTTCAACAAACCAAATCTCTATAATGAATGCTGTGTACATTTTTTTTTGTTTTGTTTTCATTTCTGGTAAACTACCATAAAAAACTATCATATCTAAAAAAAAAAATTATAGCCATGTAGCAGTTTTTACCATCGTTCATCTCTGTGTTTGTTGGTTTCGTCTGGAATGAAAGAGTATAAAAATTTCCAGTAAGCTTCACAAATATCTACACACATGGTGTTTTCGTTTTTTATTTTATTAATTTTTTGCTTCAGTATCTGTGAGGTGTTTAAACACCAGAGTAGGGTTGTCCAAATGTTAATTGCTTCTGAAAGGTTGATTTGTGGCTGCAGCAGAGKGGGTAACTCCCCTTTCAGCGTTGAGTGAGATTAGCGGTGGATCTTCAGGATTTATTACTCGAGGCACCCGGATTAGCACCGCAACGGAGCTTAAAACAGAATCGCTGGTCACCGCATCGTTTTAAAGAAGTAAGACAAGCTTATATCAGCTCAAGCTATTATCAGGAGGAGAAAAGGGCACTAATCAGCTTTTTTTTAATGGTAATTACCCTTCATCAGGATTAGACTGTAAAAAAATGAGCAAATCACTATTTTGACAGTAATAAAAATGTTCCTAATTTCAAGCATTGTCTGTTAAGACACACGATTAGAAACCCATTGTTCCCTTCTGTGGCACTTCTTTTCCTTTTCTTGCTGAACATATCCCAGTTTTTAATGGTTTTGTTGGGGGTATTGGACATGATTAAATCACAACTCCATCTGCTGTTATGCGTGTCAATAGAAATCACACCTCAATAATTCAAAGGCAAAATTAAATGAGATTGGCTTTCTAATGTGTGCAGTTAGAGGCATGTCTGAGCTCCCCCAGTGCCCACTATCTCCCCCACGATGTATGGATAATAGGTTTAGCTGGTTAGATATGCTGCCTATTACAGGTTTAACTTTGATGAAGGGCCCATTTTGTGCCATTAGGGAAGGCCGGCTAACAGAATGAGTTCTCATCCAGATGTCTGTAAATAAGATTCTCACGTTTTAGGCCTGAAACGGAGCATTTCTAACATATTTTCCATCATTATTCATTAGACAGAAGAGCGAGCTCGTAGCCTCGCCGTCTCTTCCTCGAGGCTTCAGATGGATTTCTGCAAATCTAAGATTCACTCTCCAGCGGCAACATTGATCTGTTTACCTAGTGAAATTGCATTCATTCATTTAATTTCTCGGAGAACTGAAATGTGTCCTTGCCAGTGATTTGAATAGCTTTGGTTCGACAAGCGAAACYGCGGGTGGGCGGGGGCGGGGCTTTCTCTACACACCGGTGCCAGTGAGAACATTCGAGTGGTAAGCCAAATGATTTAAGGAAACTGATCCCGCTGCTACAAGTGCAGACAAGCATGGTTTGTGTCATGGYGGCAGCTCAAAGCCAAACTGTGACTAACTGGATCAGTTGTGTTTAAAGAGACAGCACCAAAATGAGTTAGTCTCTGACTCACCTGAGAACAGGGGTGATAGAGGGGCTTGTGGAGCGACAATAACCAGGAATTCAGACCAAAGCATTGCAGTTCCTCTTTATATAGACCCCAAATACATCATTTAAATATAAAGAAGAAGGATTTAAAAGCRTGGTACRTTCCCTTTACAGATATAGTTAGGAGTTTTAACATCCGTATTTGCATTGGTTTTCATATTTAGGAGAATGCGACGTATATTTTTGTTTTGGTTCAGCTGGTGGAAGAGAGCTTCTGTATAATGTTACACACCRTTGCCCTGGAGTTAAGCACTACAACCCGATGAATTGTGGTTTCTTCACTGGTGTAAATAACTATCTGTGCAGCCGCCCGGTGAAACCCGACTGTAGAAAATGGTCTGCCAWTAACAAACCCAAGTCGGTATTATTACAGGGAATGATCTGCCAATAAGATTCCATCTCATGACTCCTGAGAGTCCAGATGACTGGTGTGTTGGCCCCATCCCAGCCATAACTCAACCCTAATTGACAGGGTGTGTGTGTGTTGCCTCCTGGGGGCTCAAGAGGGCCGCCGGAATGAGAATGGAGAGAAACGAAGGAAGTGAATAGAGGTCGAAGCAAACGTAGAGCGGGGGTGTTGCAATGGATGAAGAGGAGGAATGGAGCTGATGCACCAGGGATCTCTGGTCTACTGGCAGCCATATCTGACGCTTTCTCCGCTCCCCCTGACAGCAATCCATTTGAGGGCCTCCTGGTGCTAACACAGTGCTAAAMCCCAATCAAACAGGCTCAATGGGACCAAAAAAAAGGGTGAAACACTTAGGCCCAGCCGGCTCCCACTTGTCTGAGCAATTCACCTCTGACTGACCCGTTCAGGYATCTTAAATAAGACACCGTGAACAGCGCAAACGTCTGAAAGCCAAGGAAAGCTTTAGTGAAACCAAAGTCTGCTTCATCTTTGGCCTTACTGGGGTCAAATGAGAAGAAAATGCTATTTAAAGGAAAACTGGGGGGACGGACGCTCAATTAGACCAAGAAGCAAACACGAGTTGATAAAATATCAACTAAGAAAACAAAAAAAAAAAACCCAACATTATAGGTCATAAAATTAAGCTAATGACCTCCTTAGGATCCTAAAAAACAAGCTCTCAAATAGCAGAGCTGATCTGCCCGCCTCATAATCTCCTTTGGAAAGGTCAGTGTGAGCACATTTATCAAGTGTTGCACTCTCGTGACAGAATTGGCAAGTCGTGTGAAAGGCACTTAAGCAAATTACCAGAACAATTCTTTGAATTAATAGTTTCTATAGCTTTTTGTCTGGAATGATTAATAGGAGACTGGAAAAGCAGTGGGGAGAGAAAAAAAGGAACGTTTGCAGAAAGTGAGAAAGATTGATTTCATTATTTATGCTGTGTCCTCCCTGTTGCAGATAGAAAACATTTYGGTGGGGCGACACGGGGCGAGAGATCAGAGCGAGGCACTTTTCCTGTAAAAAATCTTCCCTCAGCCATGCACCAAATGCAGAAAAAAGACCTCCATCCACACACGACAGGATTAGTGTTCGACTCGAATCGATACGTCCCAAGCACAACTGCGTTTTTTTTATGCCTCCTAAAAGAAGCTGCTCGAGCGAAGATCAGAGGAAGTTAGACAGCATAATGAAATGGCATCTGTCAGTGCTGAGTTGGACCGTGTCCACCGGGCACCCTGGTCTGCTTCAGTTTAATGTACTCCCCTTGAAATGTTTGGTGAGAATGTAATTAGCTAGCAGTGGGCAGGCACACTAAAACCGAGACTGGCATCACTGTTTTTCCTCCTCTCCATCCCCCCTGTGTGTTGTTGTGCACAGTATTAACAATGACAAAACGGTAATTAATATTTTCTCTCCATTGTTGAGAAAGACAGAGGACACGGGGAGTACCGCTGCCAACGAAGGCCACTGCCAAACGGAACGTCTTGCCAGCTTTTTTATTTTTGTTTGGAGAAAAGTGTTTTTTAGTAAGCCAACTGAGCGGCATTTAAAAAAAATGTTTCCGTCCTCTGTTTGGCCCAAAATACTCTTTAAAGAACACTTTGACCAACAGTTAAACTTTGTGAATAAAGTAGACCGTCAAAGGAGTAAAAGAGGCTTTGGTTTTTGTGTCCAGGGTGTGGGGGATGTGGGCAGGACCACCGAAGAACCACTACAGTCAGATGGTGTATGAGAATGGAGAGCCATGCTGGCAGGGAGGTTCACGCTCTGCTACAGTAAGTACATGTACAGTGTACACTCACACAAGCATGGTTAAAGAAAACCATCTTAAAGTCTGCTTTATTCAATTTCTGTAAGACCAGAAAAAGTATTTCATGTAGGAGAAAATACTAACTTCTGCTGTGGATATTGTACTGACAGAGATGTAAAAGTACAAATACTTCATAACCGTACTTATGCAGAAATTTTTGTTATCTAAACTTTACTTTTTACTTCTTAATCCCCTTTTTACTACTCCTTAAGGCTGGGTTATAGTCAGTGTTGTATAAAGTACCTCAAAGTGATGAGTAAAAGTACAAGTATCTTATCATAAAAATACTTTGGTAAAAGTTAAAGTCTTCTCTATAAACATTACTTGAGTAAAAGTCTTAAAGTATCTGATATTGTTTGTACTTACAGTAAGTATCAAAAGTAAATGTCTGACACAAAATCTACTTAAGTATTAAAAGTAAAAGTACTGAGTAAAAGTGAGCAGTTAGATTTCCCAAAATGACATTTATTGGAAGGTGACTTCTCAAAAAAAAAGTTTTTTCTAACGGCGTGCAGCTGTGATGGGTTGTGTACAAGCTAATATGGTGTCAGAATGGTATATATTTATACTTCTCATCCAACCACAATTAAATTCACTCTGTCCAGGAGACACAGTTTATCAGGATAGTATTTTTTTAAGTAATAAGAACTCGGAATAAAATAGGAGTAACGACTTTCTACTTCTTACCTTTTTAAAAAAATGTAGTGAGTAGAAAGTACAGATAATTGTGTAAAAATGTAGTAAGTAAAAGTAAAAAGTATGCTGAAAAATAATTACTCAAGTGAAGTACAGATACCCAAAAATTCTACTTAAGTACAGTAACAAAGTATTTGTACTTAGTTTCATTACAACTCTGGTTATAGTTCACCAGCATAGGTGTTTATACTTGACACTATGATGTAGTATTCTCCAAAAGTACATGTGGCAGTACACTTTATAACTTGTGAAAATGTTGGAAGTAGGAGAGCAAAAGCTTGACAGGCAGACAAACTATTTGAATGGTGMRCGGCGCTCGCAACCTTTACAGAGCTACAAAAATTCGGAGGTGCTCGACCTCGCGCTGGGCCATTGGCAGGGGCGGGGACGGTGTAATTGCGTCACTATTGGCGTGCGCCCCCTCGCATCCAGCGCAACGCGTCAACTATAAACTTAGCTTTACATTTTAATTAGTCTCGTTACTCCCCTTTCATTTCTGCTTATTTTCATTCTGGCTTGTAATTGTTAAAAAAAAAACTAATCCGGGCATATGGTGCCTCCCAGAAAGAATGAATTTAATTGTGATTGGATAAGAAATGAAAACGGTAAAAACTAGGGGTGCAACGATACAGAAAAGTCACGATTCGGTTCGATACTTTAGTCTCACTGTTCTATATTTTTTCAATACAAAAAAGAGAAATGTCCATGCCCTTTTTAACTTGTAATTTATTTATATTAATTATGAACATTTGTTTAACCTCAAAAGTACAGTTTTTAAATTAAATGTAGCTGAAACAGCAAGTTTCTCAGTGGATCTGTGCTCACAAATGCAGCCTAGGTGGAGTAGTCGAACACAGATCCACTGATCCTTCAACACAGAGCATCTTCAGAAGACATGTTAATAAAATAAATGTWAAAAATCTGTATTGTTCGATACAAGTGTGTATTGAACCTAAAGCACTGTATTGAACAGTTCGATACGGGTACATGTATTGTTGCACCCTGAGTACTGCAGGGCTATTCAGCTACATTTCTCAGGGGGCTACAGTTACTCAAAGYGAACATCTAGTGTTCTAATGAGTAAAATGCTGCATTTTGTAAAAGAAAAACAATTATATTTTCTCTTTTAAATTAGTTTATTTTGTTGCACTGAATCATGAATTTAAATTATATATATATATTCTTTTTTGTCCAGCCTCATTGGCAGGCAGGAAGTCACCTGTGGGCCAGAGGTGGCCCACGGTCCACCAGTTTAACAGCACTGCCCTACTGGTTTATATGTGATCCATCACACCTGCATACAACACAAATCCTGTCACACTCCAGCAGGAAACATCAGACGCAGCAGAGAGATCTGCAGCTGAAACAGGTGGCGCCCAGATCGTAGATTTATTCAGTTCTGCAACATAAACAGTTCAAATAAACCATTTTAAGGCCAGATTTACAAAGACTTTCAGCTCACAATGAATATATGTTCACTGACTACAACTGCAACAAAACAAAGAACTTGAAAATCTAAAACGTTTTGACGAGTCAGAACTCCACSAGCCTGGCAGAACTACTTAATATCTGCACGCTACAAGATAGCAGGCGACACAAAGAGAGAGTTTATTTTTAATCCCAGCTCAGGACAAAGAGCGAATTACCTGCCTGAAACTTGGGCACAATAATACCTGTCAAGTTTTATCTCCGAGGCTCTCCAGGTGCTTTTTGTTCAGCAGGAGGATCGTCTGCTCGGGGTGCGTTATGATGTGAGGCATTGYCATGGAAACCCCCTACAAGTAGAATAAGTTGAAAAAATTTTTCCCATTGCTTCCTTAAAGTCATGACAGCAGTAATCCCCCCCTCCCCCTGTTCGTTGGATGACAGCAGTGATGTCACATTATCCTAACTGTGTCCTGGAAGGACTTTCTGGTTCCAGGCGAGGAAACTTGTATATATTTATTAAACAGCAAGTTTGATTTAAACCTCTTGTTTTTAGTTTTGATGAAGGCAGGATGTATGTAATGGTCTTCACAGGGCAGCTCCAGACTGGGGTTAAAGCGGTCCGTTGTCCTGGCCTCACCTCCTCCTCTCTGTGTGTTTCTAGGTCACGCTGACATGTGGAACAGAGACAGGCCTGCGATCAGCGAGGGAGCCCAGCAAATGTCAGTACATCCTGGACTTTCAGACTCCTGTGGCCTGTCAGCCAGTGCTGAAGCAGAGGGGTGTGCACAGTGAACTGTGACCCCCACGCCTTACCGCCTCAGCCTAGAATAACTCGGACCCCTGCCCCCGTCGGCTCGCCCACAGTGACAGGCTGGGGGTCCTGAGGGTCCGTGTTGTCAGAACGCATATTCTTCTCAGCCAGTTTGACTGAGGTCAGAACGGGTTTTTCAGTGACACCACTTTAGTTTTTGTGTCACTTTACTTCTGTTACAAACAGGATGAACTGAGATCCTCAGATCTCTGCGTTATTTTCATCACATCAGAGCAGAAAGACTCAGATAGAGAAGGAGAAACCAGGTGAGTCGGAGCTGTGCTTCCAACTGTTCAGCTTCTAATCYACAAAACAGCAGCAGAAACGTCTGCTTCAAGCTACAYTGCAGAAACTGTCCATCTAACTGTTTTACAATCTGTCTGATACACTGAGCAAGAGCAGAATGTGGTGGATTATTAATCCTGCTAATCTGGAAATGTTCTTGTTTTAAGAAGTCTTACTGCACTGGCAGATTGTATGAGCGCTATGAAGGTTTTACATAAAGTTCATGTATTTATTTTTTTGGCACGAGCACTGTTCCGCAATTTTTGAGCTATTTCAACGAATCCTGTATGAAAACTCTCAGCTCCTTCAGGCTGTGGCTTTTAGTATTTCAGCCATTTATACTGAGATATTCAGACTTTYCTATTTTTCTTCTTGAAAATGAATGGAGCTGTCCACATCTTTAACATAGTCAAACCATTCCTGCGTTAACGTCTTTGTGCTAATTTTAGCTTATTTTAGATTTTCTTTTTTTTTTTTGGTCTTTTCAGATATTCTGATAATATAATTTTTGTGCTTCTTTCTGCTGATTTAAGCCTTTTTTTTACTTCTTTCTTTCAGCTGTAGGTACTTTTAGCTTTCTCAAAGATAAATTCATCTTTTTGTGATAGTTTGAGCTGATTTGTGCAAGATAGGGCTTTTTTTTTACAACAAATTGCAAAATTTTATTTTTTCTCCCCTGGCAAAATTTTTTTTTCAGTATTTAGCATTTCCACTACATTTGCACAGAAAATGCATATTCTTTAGTTTCACTTAATTTGAGAATTTTCAGACTATAATCTAGTGTCAACTTATTTTAGATGGCTAATTTTTGCAGTGTAGCAAAGACTAACTAGATTAAAAGCAAAAAAAAACGTTGCCAAAAAAAGCTGTATGGTGTGTATTGACATGTTTCTTGTCACAATTGTAGAGAAAAAGACAAACAAAATTTTTATTTTGTTTCTGGAAACCATCCCAGGTCCCCAAACTTGGTTTTGGCCTCCAGGGTAGGGTCCTGACCCCCRATATTTGGGACCCACTGGAGAGCCTTCTGACAGATTGTTCCCAAAGTTGAGGTTGGGACAYCCTCGTGGACCACAAAACACCAAGTTTAGGGTCTTCAGATGAGCTCCAGTAAAGAAGTTAGCAATGAAATAGTTACTATTAGCAAATAGTGCTAATGGAATGCTAATAGTACATTTTTGCCAACATTATCACAACAGCTTTAACAGTTGTCATTAGTCGGTAACAGTAGAAATACAATCATTGGAAGCTGAAACATTTGGGAATCTCCAGTTTAGACCAAAGGTTTCAGCTTTCTGCTCTGAAAATAAAAGTTTTCATCCTCGACTCTCTGCTGCTGTTTGAACTTTACAATCAGACTCTTCAGTGATCGAAGATCCCAGACGTTGGGAACCACAGAGCTAGCTGATGCTCTTAAATAACTGCCTGTTTTGCACCAAGAAAACCATCCTTCAGCTAGATGGTAGTGTTTTATTAAAGGCCTCATTAAAGGGAGAGTTCAGGTATTTTAACGTGGGTTTTGTAGAAATAATAAAATCCTGATCTGCATTCGCTCACATCGTGTTTCTGCCCTTCTGATGATGTTCAAGAGCGTTGTGTTTGCACAACTTATTTTTGTAACGTTGTCTAGCGTATCTGACCAACGCCAGCGAGGATAAATCTGGATGTAAACTTTACTTGTCATGACAGCCACCTGCCACTCATAACTGTCATGCTCCTAATGTTCACATGAAATATGAGTGTTCRTTTGTGCTGGAAACTAACGTACAGAACCAAAAAAAAGTACTTTTCTTCCTAAATAAATCCAGTGTTCTGATTGGTTATTTACAAAGTGCTGATTAAACTCCACCCTCTTTTTTTTACATCAGCTCTCCTAAAATTGAAAAGTTTTTTTACAAACACAGATTTGTTCATTTTCCAATTATAGAGTGGAGTAAAAATCGGACTTGTAGTTTAAATATTTATAGTTTTCATAAAGAGAAGTTGCTCGAAGGCCAGACAAAGTATTAAAGGGAGTAACACAATAACAGCTTCGTAGAAGAAATGTCTGTTTAGTATTGCATCATTTTTACAGTGTTTAAAATGAACAGACTAATAAATAAAACATTGCTGTTTAAATTCACTTTGTGTTTTTTTCCTACACCACATGACCTCACTCACGTATGTGTGTTTTTGTTTACTGCAGTGACATTATACACACATATAAAATGACTTAAATCCTTCACAGTATTTACAAGCTTTCATTTCTTCTCTCCAGACTGTAACACTTATTGATTCGCAGACTGCACCGTGTTGTTCTTCCTGCCGTCTCTGATGTTATGCAACAGCTCGTGGAGTTTGTGCAGCAGAACCTGCGGCTCATTAAGGGGGAGCTAAATCAGCTGTCAGGTATCCAATAGTCTGCCTGATGTCTCCCTGCCCTGCTGGGGCTGCTGGGTGGCTGTTTGCCTGCTAGCGATGCAATAGCCTCGGGCCCTGTAGCTCCAAACTGCTGCTTTTTATTTATCTGCCCTCAGCTCTGCGTCCACATGCTCGAGCTGACCAATCGCCTTCACCTTCAGTTTTTTAAATAACAGGCAGTTTTTGTTTAGAGGGCCGAACACGGCGAGTGGACCGCATTATTTTTTCAAACCGTACAAAATTCCTTTAGAGGAACTACAACACAGCAGCTGGACCAGTTCATCTAACACAGTGTTTCCCAAAGTTGGGGTCGGGACCCAAAGTGGGGTCCCGAAACATCAAGGTGGGG